TATTTAGACCATTTACATTTAAAGTTAATCACTAAGTTAGGGTTTAAGTCTGCCATTTTATTTTTTTGTTTTCTGTTTCTTCATCTTTTTTTCCCCCCTTTGCTTCTGACTGCCTGTGGGTTACTTAAACATATTTTAGATTCCATTTTGATTCTTCTGTAGTGTTTTTAGTATGCCTCTTTGTATAGATGTTTCATGGTTCCTCTGGGTACTGTATATGTATAACTTATCACAGTCAGTCTAGTGGGTGCTATTTTACCAGTTCAAGGGAAATATCAAACCTTAACACTCTTTACATCCGTTTATTCACTGCCATTGATAACAGTTCAAAATACTTTCTCTATATAAACTTAGAATTACATTAGTTTTATTATTATTATTATTATTATTATTATTATTATTATTTGAGACACAGTCTCTTTTTGCCCAGGCTAGAGTGCAGTGGCACGATCTCGGCTCACTGCAGCCTCTGCCTCCTGGGTTCAAGCGATTCTTCTGCCTCAGCCTCCTGCTGGGATTATAGGCATGTGTCGCCATGCTCAGCTAATTTTTGTATTTTTAGTAGAGACAGCGTTTCACCATGTTGGTCAGGCTGATCTTGAACTCCTGACCTTGTGATCCACCCACCTCAGCCTCCCAAAGTGCTGGGATTACAGGTGTGAGCCGCTGTGCCTGGTTGAAATTTTTTTTAACTGTCAAACATGATTTAGAAAACTTAAGGAAATCCCATATTTGCCCATCTTTTTTTGTTTGCTATATTGTTTTCTTCTTTCCTAATGTTCCAAAGTCCTCCTTTTATCATTTCCCTTGTATTTAGATAACTTTTTTAAATGGTTCCCTTTGGGTAGATCTGCTGGCAACAGATTCTCTTGGTTTTTTGTCATCTGAGATTATCTTTATTTCTCCTTCATTCCTGAAGGATATTTTCACTGGATATAAGATTCTGGGTTTGACAGTTCTTTCAACACTTGAAAAATATTTTGCCACTTCCTTCTGGCCTCTGTGGTTTATGATGAGAAATCTGTTGTCATTCCATTTTTTTTTTTCCTCCTGCAGGTAGGGTGTCATTTTTCTCTGGCTGCTTCCAATATGTTTTTTCTTTGTCTTTATTTTCAGAAGTTTAATTATGATGTGTCTTGCTGTGGATTCCTTTGGGTTTTTCCTGTTGAGGGGTTCATTCTGCTTCTTGAATCTGTAGGTTTATATTTATTGCCATATTGTGAGAATCTTCAGCCATTATTTCTTTGAGTACTTTTTCAGCCCTGTCTTTTGTGTCCTCAGCTTCCAAGGCTCTGATGACATGAATGTTACATCTTTTGTTATAGCCCCACAAGTCCCAGAGACTGTTCTTTTTCTTGTTGTTGGTCTCCCTCCATCCATCTTTCCTTCCTTCCTTCCTTCCTTCCTTCCTTCCATCCATCCATCCATCCATCCATCGGTCCTTGAGACCAACGGTCTCAGGCTGGAGTACAGTGGCACAATCTTGGCTCACTGCAGCTTAACCTCCTAGACTCAAGCAATACTCCCACCTCAGCCTCCCGAGTAGCTGGAACCACAGGCACATGCCACTCTGCCTGGCTAATTTTTTTTGTTTGTTTGTAGAGACAAGGTTTTACCATGTTAACAAGGCTGGTCTCAAACTCCTGGCTTCAAGTGATTCTCCTGCTTCAGCCTCCCAGAGTGCTGGGATTACAGGCATGAGCCAACCTGCCTAGCATTCATTTATTCTATTTTTCAGTTCTAATATTTCCATTTGGTTTTAAATGTTTTATGTTTTATTTGCCTGAACTTTCTTTTTCTTTGCTCAGTCCTCGTTTTTTTTTTTTTTTTTTTTTTTTCTCAAGCATGTTTATAATTTCTCTTTGAAGCATTTTTGTCATGGTACCTTTGTCCTGGTTGGATAATTCTGTTTCTGTCATCTCAGGGTTGGAAGCTATTGTTTATTTTTTTGCGTTTGGTATCTTCCTGGTTCTTGGTGTGGTGAGCTATTTTCATTTGAAACTGGACTTATATTATGAGACTCTATATCTCATTTAAACTCTTTAGTTTGGTTTTCTTTCCCTAGCACTGCTGTGGCAAGGGAACCAGGGCCTGTCTCCTTACTGCCAGTGGAGGTAGAAGTTCAGGTTTTGCTTAGCTTTCATTGACACCTGGTAGTAGGGACTCCTTGTTACTGCCGATGGAGGTGGTAGTTTTGACTCTTCATGTGGTCTCCACAGACACCACATTGGTGTGTCCTCATTACTGCAGGGAGATGGTGAAAGTCTTGACTCTACTTGACCTCCTCTGACACCACCTCAGAGGGAGGTGGGGGAGCTCCATATCGCCTCCTTTCTTTCTCTTGCAGCAGAAGTCTAGGCTCTCCACTTGTGCATCATTGCTGGCATAAGTAGAGATGGGACCGCATTTTTTTCTTTAGTGTTAAGCTCGAGTAGAGTAATTCTTACCTAAAACTTTTATCTTTTTAGGTAGCCCTTCCCTGGTCCTTTGGCTTTTGTTAGGATTATTTTGGGTCTGCACCCATTGGTATTTCCATGTTACTGGCTTCTTAGCTGCATGCTTGGGATACCTGAGGCAAAAAGTAAACCCAGGGAGCTCATCCCCATGCCGTTTGTCAGGTTCTGCAATCTCTGGCTATTCTGCCATCTCTCCACATTTCAGAGTTGTCTGTTTGTTTTACGTATAATATACAGTGCTGTTAGTTGTACCTAGTGGGAAGAATAGGGAAAAGTGTTTTTACTCCATCTACCCTGAAGTAACCTCTCATTTACTTTGTTCCTTTCTCAGGACTTAGTGTAATGTTTTAATTCCAGCATTTTATTGTTGTTAATTTTATTCATGTATATTATTTTCTTTGGCAGGTAGTGAAGAATAAATTAATTTTCAGTGTAAAAGAATTCCCAAAAAGCAAGCAGATGTAGGTGACATCCACCATTGGGTTTCAGATATAAATAGGTCTTTGTATTTGGGGATGCTTTTTAGTTTACAAAGCAAAATCTTATAAGAGGGGGATCACATAGGTAGAAGCGGTCACTTAATATTTTTTGCACTGGCAAGTAGTAAAAAGACAGCGTCACTGTAGGTCTGGTTAGAATGGGCCGTTTACCTGATAGTGAGAGGTTTTCAGTTGACTTCATTTTCTCAAGATAAGTTTCACAAAGGGGTCCTGATAGCTTTCAAGTTATAACTGGCTATCTCACAGGATTATGACTCAGTAAAAACTTGAAAAGGCTTTGGTGGGTATAAAGAACCACTCGTGTGAGAGAATGCTACTTTTGTAATTGTCTTCCTGCAAAGATCTACTTTGCACTTAGAGCAGCACATTTTTACTTTCTGTAATTCTTAGAATCCTAGAATCTTAAAACTGAAAGCGATCTTAAAGATAAATGAGTGCCGGGCGTGGTGGCTCACACCTGTAATCCCAGCACTTTGGGAGACCGAGGCAGGTGGATCATGAGGTCAGGAGATTGAGACCATCCTGGCTAACATGGTGAAACCCCGTCTCCACGAAAAATACAAAAAATGAACTGGTCGCGGTGGCGTGTGCCTGTAGTCCCAGCTACTCAGGAGGCTGAAGCAGGAGAATCAGTTGAACCCGGGAGGCGGAGGTTACAGTGAGCCAAGATCGTGCCACTGCACTCAGGCCTGGGCGACAGAGCAAGACTCTGTCTCAAAAAAAAGGTAAATGAACTTTGCCATTTTTCCCATCCATGCAACTCAGTTTCTTTGAAGGATACTCCACTAGCTTACAGCACAGGGTGTCTCAAATCGTTAACAATGTTTGCCAACCTCTTCTGTTCTGCCTTGGCCTTTCCTGTTAGATCTTATCTCTCTGCTCTGCTTTTTGAGTCTAGTCTTTTATGAGAGAATAGGAAAAAAACCACTTCCTCTGTATTGTGATCATTCTTTTTCTTTTTCTTTTTTTTTTTTTTTTTGTGGGGGGGGGTGAGGGTGGGTTGTGGTCATTCTTACCTGCCATATCCTTTTATTTTTCTTCATTTTGTACAGTTAAGACCTTTGACCATTTTATCTGCTTTATTCAATCTGCAGAATTTGATTTTCTTAAAGTGGTGCCGTGGCATCCAGAACAATACACACAACACTTGTGTAGGATGGATAGGAACTTTGCTCCATGAAACCCTGCACTGCACTGTTGTTATTTGTACTGCTTTTCTCATGTACATAGAAACCCTTCTGAGAGGATTTGAGAGTCTTGTAGATATATGTAAATCATTGTATTTGCTCTCATTTTGGCACAAAACAGTTACTGAATTTATAGGTGGTTCATGGCCCTGGGATTTTTTTTTCCCCCTCTTTAGCGAGTTAATTCTTAAGTCTGCCCTATTTTGTTGCTTTATTCAGTATGACTGTAGAAAATCTAAGTGCAAGTGTACATTTGCCATTAGGATGTTTTCTTGTTAGCTTTGTGGCATTGTAGAGTGTTGATTTTCTGACGAATTAGGCTGGCTTTCATCCTTCCCTTCACTGTTTCCTCTTCCCGACCACTCCCTCAGTCACCTGCCTGGCCCGTTTGTGTTTTATTCATTCCTGTTTGTTATAACAATCTGTGTTATTGAAAGTGTTGGTGAGGCAGGGTCAGATACAGAGCACTGCTAGAGCATTTCTGATTGACATCAGCTCATTAATAATCATGTTTTGACTATGTGTATAGAACATGGTATGAATCATTTTTTACTTCTACATCAAAAACTGAAAAAATATATATTTTCTATATGTTTGACATCTTACTAGTAACTATAACATTGCTATAGATGATCTAATAATATTGGCACCTTTTTTTTTTTTTTTAAGGTGGGGCTTCACTATGTTGGCCAGGTTGGTCTTGAACTCCTGTCCTCAGGTGATCCACCCACCTCAGCCTCCCAAAATGCTAGGATTACAGGCGTGAGCCACCGCGCCCAGCAATATTGGTACGTTTTAAAATTTTGAAACATATTTAGTACCTAGTTTCATTTTACCTATTTTAAAAATATTTTCAGGAAATCCCCTTACCCAGGATATATTGAACCTTTATCAGGAACCAGATGGAACAAGACGGCTGCTGAACTATTTGCTTGATAATTTGTCAGGTACTGCAAAAAGAAGTAAGTGGTTATTTGTTTAAACCTTTTTATTAGGAAGATATGTAAGAATATTGCTTAATTCTTTATTTTCTGTTCAACTAGTTTCAACAGAACAACCACCTCCAAGGTCTTGGATTATGTTACAAGAACCAGATAGAACAAGGCCAACTGGTTGGTAGTCTTTTATTTTTTAACTGTTATTTTTGCTCAGTCTCTATAAGCCTAACAATATTGTCAGCATGCTTAGATAACAGGTAGCATTAAGATAGAATGTTTAAGGTTGATTTAGTTTGGGAGGTTATAAAAAAAAAATAATTATTGCTCACATGACCTCTATATATACTATGTTGTGCTATATAGAAAGTGTGCTGTAAAGCAGTGCTTCTCAAATGGGCAGTTTATCCCCCAGGGCACAATTGGCAATGTCTGGAGACTATTTTGGTGGTCATAACCGGAGAGAAGTGCTGCTGATTGCTAGAGGCTGGAGACCAGGGATGCTGCTCAACATCCTATATAGTACCTGGCACAGGCCCCCACAACAGACTTCACCTAAAATGTCAGTGGTGCCTCTCTTATTGAGAAAACCTTTCTGTAATGTATTGATGAAATTCACTTAAAATGAATACACTCAACTCTGTCTCTATTAGAAGTTTCCAAATCCTAGCATGTTCCAAATGGATTTGACACTACTGAGTTATAAGAGAGCTAAAACCCTTACTTAAGAGGAAAATTGAACTAATGACCTCTAATCTCCTTTTAACCTAAATTCTATGAAAATAGTTTGGTAACTTTAATGGCGCGTGTAACAAAATTCAATCTATGATACTGTTTTTATTTTACATAAAATAATAGTTGTGCTATAGAAGAAAATGAGACATGCCTATTAAGGAAACCGCGTATCCTACATTAACAATTGGTGGCATGGTAGAAGGAGTCGAGGAATGAGGAATGTTAGGCTCAGAGGCCGAAGGGCTCACAAGCTTAGACTTTTCACTTCCAAACCTTCTGTGCCTACCTCTGTAGTAGGTGTAGCACATTGTATTCTAACTTGTTCACTTATCTGTCCTGCTTGCATTATCTGTGTTTATTTATCCCCTATGTGTGGCATATAGTAGCTTTTCTGTGGCTATAGATTGAATGAATACAGTCACACTTAACATTTAAGTGAAAACCATTACTGAAATTCTATATTTTTTTTCTGCCACGTGTGTGAATAAGTAAAGTTATCTTTCCTACAGCCTTGTTTTCTGTCATGTGCTATAATGTTCTTTGTGATAAATATGCGACCCGGCAGTTATACGGCTACTGTCCATCATGGGCACTAAACTGGGACTACAGGAAAAAGGCCATTATTCAAGAAATCTTGAGCTGCAATGCTGATATCGTAAGTCTTCAGGTAAGTCAGACAGAAGAGAGTTGACCTAACATTGATAAAGCAAGGAGCAAACTAGGAATACATTACACAGATACATTTGAAGTTTCAGCTCTGTTTTTTTTTTTTTTAATGTTATTAGTGAATCCTGGGACTACTGTCTGCTTTGCTTTGCAGTACTGTGTTGCAAAATAAGCAATGAGTTAAGTTGGGTTTTATACATTTGCTATGACTGCTAAATACTCACCTTCCTCCTCCCTCCAATGTCCCTGCACACTATTTTTTAATTGGGTGGCAAAGGTACTGAAATTCTGGCATGGTCAAGCTATAACTTTGTATTCCTGACCATGTTATTAGAACAATTAAGGCACAGTATAAAAAGGACTGACTTGGCACATAATCATTTTGGGTTCTCAGTCCAGCTCTCATAGTCACTTGCATAATCTTGAACATGTTACTTTCTCCACAAGGGTCTGAAGTTACGATTTACAAAGTTCTTTCCATCTCTGATTCTCAGTCCACATCAGTTCTAAAACATAAGGAAATACACATGCATAGAAGTATGTGTCTTTCCATTCATTGTTCCTAAACAACAATGAATTGCCCTTGGCAACTGGTACCTGTAAAATGACAAGTAGGTGTTCCAGTTGGTTTCAGATAAATAGCTTTGAAAAGCTGTTACCCTTTTTTTTTTGGGGGGGGGTTGCGGGAGACAGGGCCTTGGTCTGTCCTCCAGGCTGGAGTGCAGTGTTGCTATCTCAGCTCACTACAATCCTCGCCTCCTGGGTTCAAGCGATTCTTAACCTTCCTAGTAGCTGGGATTACAGGCATGCACCATGCCCGGCTAATTTTTGTATTTTTAGTAGAGACAGGTTTTGCTATGTTGGCCAGGCTTGGTCTGAAACTCCTGGCCTCAAGTGATCCATCCGCCTCTGCCTCCCAAAGTGGTGGGATTATAGACATGAGCCACCATGCCCGGTTTGAAAAGATGTTACATTCTTATCTGCAGACCAGTCCTTTGAAATTATTTCAAGCTCTCAGACTATACATAAAAGTCAATATGCAGGACTAATTTTTGTCATATGAAATAACTGTTCTGTTTACAATTTTTTAGGAGGTTGAAACGGAACAGTATTACAGTTTTTTTCTGGTAGAACTGAAAGAACGTGGCTATAATGGATTCTTTAGTCCTAAGTCTAGAGCTAGGACAATGTCAGAACAAGAAAGGAAACATGTTGATGGCTGTGCAATATTCTTCAAGACAGAAAAGTAAGTCATCTTGTTTTTAAAAAAGAAAATTTTCTCAGTATTTGCAGGGTGGGGGCCAAGAATGAGGCACTATGTTATTACTCAAGAAAATAATGTTATTTGACCTAGGGGATTTCGTTTGTTTTTAATCATCAAAAATAACCTTGTTTTGGAGACATGCTTAAAGTACTGCTGTTTCTTCAGGTGTTTACTAGGGTTTAACTCCAATTGTTAATTGAATCACCAAGTAGTTAAAATTCCCTCTAGGATGGTGCAGGGATTCTTAAATCCATACTTTAAAAAGAATTGTTTAAAAATTACAAGTTAGAATATTCCAACATAAAACCTAAACAAGATGACTACATTTTTTCAGTTGTAATTTTCAAATTGTTATGGTATCAGTAACAGACTTAGTACAACTTTAAATGGATGTGGGAAGCTTGGTGAAGGATTTTCCATAATGTGATTTAAGTGCCATCATATCTATTAAGGAAGTTTGGGAAAACTACAGTTCCCACAAAGCTAACCTGTTGGTATTCCCAACTCTGTTTGTGTGTGTGTTTTGTTTTTGTTTTAGATTTACTTTGATTCAGAAACACACTGTTGAATTTAATCAGCTAGCCATGGCAAATTCTGAAGGGTCTGAAGCTATGCTGAACAGAGTCATGACAAAAGATAACATTGGAGTTGCAGTACTGCTAGAACTTCGAAAGGAATTGATTGAAATGTCATGTGAGTGGCCCTTTCACTTCCTGTAAAATTGACCACCAAAATTTAATAGCTCTGACTAGACATCTTCAAAAGAATAGAAAACAGAAATTTCATTGTGTATTAATGGTCTTGTCTAACACCTGAAGAAACTCAGTGAGAATTTTTGTCTTTTCTAAAATATATCTCTTTTTCTCTGCCACAAAGCTTAAGATGAGAAAGCATTGGCCTGTTAAAGTATTACAAACCTTGAAAAGCATTAAGAAACTTTCTTTTTTCTCTTAAGAATTTTTTATGTAAAAGAAATGTTGAAGTAAACATTAAAGTAACTGCTCAGGGGTAAGAACCCTCTACACTTTTATATTTTTTGGCAGCAAGGATATTTCTGTAATCTAACTTCTTTTCCTGATCTATTTAAAATAATTGTTTTCAAGGTCTTGAGTTTTCGATAAATGGATCACTTCAAATTGAAAGTATATTTAAGTGACCATTATGCCAAGAGCTGAAACTTTGTCACTTGAGCAGTTGGAATAGGGATATTTAATGTGAAGTATAGAAAAAATGGAAATAGGACTTAAGAGTTGTCTTAAATATAAGAAAGAAGGTTTAGATTTAATTTTGTGAGGCTTGATTTAGGACATCCAAACTAAGACCAAAAGTTTGAAGGAGACAGAATTTTAAAACTCAAACTGTCCCAAATAGATGGGGCTATTTTTGTACAAGTAGTGAATGCCCTGTGCTGGAAGCATCAACCCAGTTTTAGATGTGTATTTCTTGGGTTTGTTGTGGGTCACATTTAGTCATCAGGTAGGAAATTTAGGTGACTTTTCTATTCTGGGACTCTGAGAGATTATTTGCATTCAGACACTATAAGAATATATGGGCTGATGGGCGGGTTTTGTCTGTTTCTTTGTTTTGTTTTTATCTAATATAGCTGGAAAGCCACATCTTGGAACAGAAAAACAACTTATTCTTGTGGCTAATGCTCACATGCATTGGGACCCTGAATACTCTGATGTGAAGTTGGTGCAAACTATGATGTTCCTCTCAGAAGTGAAGAACATTATTGATAAAGCCTCTCGTAACCTCAAATCCAGTGTATTGGGAGAATTTGGAACTATTCCACTTGTGTTATGTGCGGACCTTAATTCTTTGCCAGATTCTGGTAAGAAAATAATGTGTTTTATGTAGAATACTTTTGACATAAAATGATTTAGTAATGTGTTGTTTCTGATCATTCCGAATTAAGTCCAAATAAAAATTCCCTTTGTAATGGCAGCTATGAGCAGGTTTGTAATGTTGTGTCGGGGTAGAGGGGGCTGTTTTGAAGATGAAACGGTATTATGGAACCCTGAAGAGAAGGATGTAATCATCTTGAATAAACACATAGGCAATAACTCGAAATGACTCTTTTTTTTTTTTTTTTTTTTGAGACGGAGTCTCGCTCTTGTTACCCAGGCTGGAGTGCAATGGCGCGATCTCGGCTCACCACAACCTCCGCCTCCTGGGTTCAGGCAATTCTCCTGCCTCAGCCTCCTGAGTAGCTGGGATTACAGGCACACACCACCATGCCCAGCTAATTTTTTGTATTTTTAGTAGAGACGGGGTTTCACCATGTTGACCAGGATGGTTTCGATCTCTTGACCTCGTGATCCACCCACCTCGGCCTCCCAAAGTGCTGGGATTACAGGCTTGAGCCACCGCGCCCGGCCTTCGAAATGACTCTTTAAAGAACATATTTTATTATCCCCAAGTCAGAGATAATTATGGTTATTAAGATAGTCTCTTTGAGATTCCAGCATGTGGTAATATAATCACATTTTAAATTTGAGTTAAAATTATAGAATCTCAATTTTGCATGTATTTGTAACTTGATTAGAAAAATATACCTCAGGTGGAAATTGAGCTCCTTTATTTACACACCTAACAGTCAAGTGATTATTATTTTTATTTATTTATTTATTTATTTATTTATTTATTTATTTTTAAAAGACAGAATCTTGCTCTGTGGCCAGGTACCAGGCTGGAGGGCAGTGGTGCAATCTCAGCTCACTGCAGCCTCCACCTCCTGGGTCCAAGCAATTCTACTGCCTCTGCCTCCTGAGTAGCTGGGACTACAGGCGTGGGCTACCACGCCCAGCTGATTTTTGTATTTTAGTAGAGATGGGGTTTCACTATGTTGGTCAGGATGATCTTGATTTCTTGACCTTGTGATCTGCCCGTCTTAGCCTCCCAAAGTGCTGGAATTACAGGTGTGAGCCACCATGCCTGGCCAGTCAAGTGATTTTAACAAAGAGCAAGGATCTTGATTTTTATTAAAATGTAGAATACAGAAAGCCCGATCTGGAATGCTTTCCATAGATAGTATACAATAAACAATAGCTCTTGTAATAACAAACGATTTTTTCCTTTTTGTGTTTCAACTCATTCATACTCTTATACAAGCAGGAATACTTTTCCTTGGACTTGAATGTATACATGAACACACACACGCATGCACATTTGGAAGCACACGTTGACATCACAATAGATAGAACCATTAGGAAGAAAGAACCTGGCCGCATGCTGTGGCTCATGCCTACTAATCCCAACACTTTGGGAAGCTGAGGCGGGCAGATCACTTGAGGCCAAGAGTTCAAGACCAGCTTGGCCAACATGGTTAAACCATGTCTCTACTGAAAATACAAAAATTAGTCAGATGTGGTGGTGCACACCTGTAATCCCGGCTACTTTGGAGGGTGAGGCACAAGAATGACTTGAACTCTGGAGGCAGAAGTTGCAGTGAGCCAAGATTGCGCTACTGCACTCCAACCTGGTTGACAAAGTGAGGCTATCTCAAAAAGAAGAAGAAGAAAGAAAGAAAGAAAGAAAGAAAGAAAGAAAGAAAGAAAGAAAGAAAGAAACTGAGTTAAAATTTGATTTCAGGGAAAATAAAGCTATCTAAAATCTTCTGTAATTCTTTATTCCAGCTCATCAAGTTATCTGGTTATTACTACTACCGAAGCAGTTGACTAATAGTCTCTGGCAGTTTGTCTACATGCTTTCTGCTTTCTGTGTAGCTACAAAGTATCTGAGGAATAAAGAGAAAATCTAGTCAAACGTTAACATCCAAGACCCATTTCAGCATTGTGAAATACAGTATTATATAGCAGGCAGGTCAGAAAATGTCCAGCCTTGCTAATTGGTGAAAAAAATGCAAATTAAAATATATTCGTAGAGCCCATCTTGTGCTTAGTAAATTGGGAAAATACTTCACTAGGGATCGGTAAGTTTGCTCTGTAACTAGCTGGTGATATTCTCTTCCATAGTTGGCAGTATTATAAAGTGGCACATTCAGTCCTAATCTTGGGATTTTATACCAAGTAAATAATTGAGCATAAGCAGAAATCTACACACTAAGATGTTGATTGTGGTATTATCTTTAATTCTTTTTAAAAAGTGGAAACTACCCTGCATTTTACAAAATTAGTAGTAAATATTATCCACCAGCCCAATTGCATTGTGCAGCCATTAAAGAATGATATTTGGGAAGACACATGTTTATAAAGCAAAGTGTAAACTGTTCAATATTCTGTGATTACAATTATGTAAAAATAGATTTGGACAAGTCCTGACAAATATAAAAAGGAATGTTTTGGAATGTGGGAATACGTGTGGTTTAAAACTTTTTACTATTACATGATCTTTTAAAATTACTTTTTGTTTATATTATATTTGACAATAAAAATTTTGTCTTCATTGTAGGTGTTGTAGAATATTTGAGCACGGGTGGAGTAGAAACAAATCACAAAGACTTTAAGGAGCTGAGGTATAATGAAAGTCTCACAAACTTCAGCTGTCATGGGAAGAATGGAACCACCAATGGAAGGATCACTCATGGTTTCAAGTTAAAGAGTGCCTATGAGAGTGGTCTGATGCCTTACACGAATTACACATTTGATTTCAAGGTGTGTCTTGAGACTGATAAGTTTTTCAAACCTCTATTTTACTGGCAAGTTTTCTGATGCTTTATGATGTCTTTAAAAATGTGGATGTGTGTTCAGACTGGAATGAAGCAGTCTTGGATTCACTGACAACAATATTCTTTGTTTTATGTTTGAGACTAGGTCTCACTTGGTTAGCCAGGCCAGAGTGCAGTGGCACAGTCACGGCTCACGGCAGCTTCAACCATGCAGGCTGAAATGATCCTGTCACCTCGGCCTCCCTAGTAGCTGGGACTACAGGCGCACACCACCACGCCTGGCTAATTCATGTATTTTTTGTAGAGATGGAGTCTCGCTATGCCCAGGTTGGTCTTGAGCTCCTGGCCTTAAATGATTCTTCCACCTCAGCCTCCCAAAGTTCTGAGATTACAGGCGTGAACCACTGTACTCGGCCAGTAATATTTTTTTATTACTCTTCTTTAGAATTTCATGTGATTAGTGTCACAACCTTACTTTGTATATATTTATTCTAATATTTTCCAGGATAAGAAGTTAGATGAAATCTGTAAAATTCCTAAGCTGACTTTCCACCTTTTGGTGACAATTATGTTTCTTGTATTCTCATTATTAACAGCTAGATATGCTGAACCATGCTATCTAATTTGGGTGGCAGTTGGGGTAAGGTGTTCCTTCTCTTACATTTTAATTTAACTGAAACTAAATTATTTTGAATGTCAAAATGTAGTTATTAGCTATTTTTAAATGTTTCTAAGATACATCTTTTTTTGCCCCCAGAGACAGAGTCTTGCTCTGTTGCTCAGCCTGGAGTTCAGTGGTGCAATTTTGGCTCACTGCAACCTCCCCCTCCCAGGTTCAAGTGATTTCTCATGCCTCAGCCTCCTGAGTTGCTGGGATTACATGTGCGCGCCACCACACCCAGCTGATTTTTGTATTTTTAGTAGAGACAGAGTTTCACCATGTTAGCCAGGCTGGTGTCGAACTTCTGGCCTCAAGTGATTTACCCATCTTGGCCTCCCAAAGTGCTGGGATTACAGGCATGAGCCACTGCACCTTGCCAGATTCTCATCATTTTTTTTATTTAGGGCTATGTCACTTTCTTGTGTTTATCCTTTTTTTTTTTTTGGCAGGAGTCGGGGGCTTCTCCATTGTTCTGTAGATAGGTTTAACTGTCTTTTTTTAAAAAAAGAGAAAAAGAGATGTTGTTTCAGCCTGTCATCCAGGTTGAGGTACAGTGATATGATCATACACACTGCAGCCTTGAAGTGGGCTGAGGCAATCCTGCCTCAGCCTCCCCACTAACTAGAACTACAGGTGTGCGCCACCATGCCCAGCTAGTTTGTTTTTTTTTTTGTTTTGTTTTGTTTTTTTTGTAACTTTGGTTTTTTTTAAAGACAGGGTCTTGCTATATTGTCCAGCCTGATGTTGAACCCCTGGCCTTAAGCATTCCTCCTGCCTTAGCCTCCCAAAGTGCTGGGATTATAGGCAGAAGCTACTGCATCTGGCTCAGCTGCCCTTTTAAACTACTTTTTGCATTTCTGCTTTCTTAACTCCTAGCTTTCTATTTCTAAGCTGCTGGCAAAGTAATAATTTAGCTTAGCTTGTCAGAGTGTAAATAAGAGTTTAGATAGTATCTCTGGAGCGCTTACACTTTAGAGTATAGAAAGTAAAGCCCCTGTTTATCCTCAAGTGCCCCTTCCTTTCAAATTCTTTTTTTTTTTTTTTGAGACGGAGTTTCACTCATGTTACCCAGGCTGGAGCGCAATGGCGTGACCTCGGCTCACTGCAACCTCTGCCTCCTGGGTTCAGGCAATCCTCCTGCCTCAGCCTCCTGAGTAGCTGGGATTACAGGCACGCACCACCATGCCCAGCTAATTTTTTGTATTTTTAGTAGAGATGGGGTTTCACCATGTTGACCAGGATGGTCTCGATCTCTTGACCTCGTTATCCACCCACCTCGGCCTCCCAAAGTGCTGGGATTACAGGCTTGAGCCACCGCGCCCGGCCTCCTTTCAAATTCTTAAGGAGACATTGAAGAGAAGGCATGGGTGATAGCCAAAGGGTGGGAAAGCTTAGGGTTTTTTTCTCTTTATGTTGCTGATGGAGGCAGGAAGAAGACACTTGAATGTGCTTCAGAGTGCATTTGGCCAAGAGCACGTAGAGGAGAGAAGCAGAACCATCAGATGGGAACAGTTTGTTAGATGCCATGGTGGGGTGCTGCTGAGAGAGAAGGGGGCAGGTAGAGACAGTTCTGCCCTCGTGCAGCTGAGCTGTGATGAGAGAGACAAGTCTCAACCACACAGATGAGCTAATGACACCTTGAGATGGCCATTAGCAAGGGAAGTGAATCAATGGTGGGAAGTAGTGAGTAGGTGGGAGCAGGATCCAGGAAGGTCTTTGGAAAGCAGTTGAACCTGACATTGAAAGATTAAGGAATTGACCTCATAACAAGTGTTACAGGCAGAGTGGAGAGTGACAGAGAGAGAGAGAGAGAGAGAGAGAGAGAGAGAGAGAGAGAGAGAGTGTGTGTGTGTGTGTGTGTGAGTGTGAGTGTGAAGGTCCTGAGGCAGGAAAGAGCTTGGTACCTATAGGTTCTCCTCCCATCCTAACTCCTGTCTCACTCCAAAGGCTAGTGTGGCAGCAGGGAAAGTGGTGCAAATTAGGTTAGGAAAGAGAAGCAGAGGCTGCATCCTGAAGGGTCTTAGGTCTTGTTAAAGATGCAGATAGGAAGAATGCTTCATTCTACTGGATTTGACATTTTGTGGGAGGAACCATTTGGTGTATGTAGTACAGATCTCATCCTACAAGCTGGTAAGTTTCACTTGTTTAGTTCTGTTCACCAAACATGACTGTAAAGACATGTCTTGAAAGCACTCAGGATTTCCGTGTTGTCTTATGTGGTGCTTATATCTTTCTTTCTGTTGTTTTTCAGGGTATAATCGACTACATTTTCTATTCTAAACCTCAGCTGAACACCTTAGGCATCCTGGGCCCTCTGGACCACCACTGGCTGGTTGAGAATAACATCAGTGGCTGCCCACACCCCCTCATCCCCTCTGACCACTTCTCACTTTTTGCACAACTGGAGCTCTTACTGCCTTTCCTGCCCCAAGTCAATGGCATCCATCTTCCTGGCAGGAGGTAGTCAAGCACCTTCGGAGGACAGCCTCGATTCACTTGTAAACTTGTGAAAATCTGAACATAGGGGAGTGAGGTATGGCCACTGAGGATTTTTGTTTTGAATTTCCAATCTGATTATTTGATAAGGATATAGTATGAAAGCCAGGTGCTAGCAACAGACAAATTCTGAGCCCAGTATGCTTTATACTGCTAGACAGGGATTGGTGTGTTTGCACCTATCTTTAATTTGTTATAAGAAATTTTCCTATTTCTTCTATCCAATATAATATTTTCATGCCTTGAAATAGGAAAATGTTTGAAGAGCTTATTCTCTTTGCACAGAAATCTGTAGCACTACTTTTTTGAGGCCAGTAGTAACATCCAGAGACCATTCTTCCATACTTTACTCCCTCCTTTTTCAGACTTGTTTGTAAAATATAGAATTTGAATTTAGCCTTTATGATTGTATATGATCCACAGAAGACCTGATTTATGAAATTTTGTACTAAAAAATCATTTGGAAATGATTGTATTGTAAACTAAGGCTAAATTTTTTTTTTAACCTGTTTCATGTGTTATAAATGCCAGCTTGTAAAAGAAGCTGCAACAGACTTTCTCTGCTCATGATTTGCACTCTGAGGGTTTTGTTAGCCCTTTTGTACTACTTTATTTTTAAATTGAGAACATGGTTCTTTAAATATAAATCTGCTTAAACCTTAGGATGTTTTCAGACCGGAGGCAACTTATTCATGAATTTTTACGAAAACTATCTACCAGGACAGATAAGCTGAACAGTGATGATCTGTAGGCATTTATGGACTGAATGTAATGGTTGATATATGTACATTCTGGTATTTTTAAATCTTTAACTTTTTTAAGTTAAAAAACTACAGCTGCTAAGGTACAGCTTAACTCCTTTTTGAGACACTTCCTGTCCTATCTCCACTGTGCCTGCCTAAATTTGTTCTCATCAAGCACTGCCTGTGCATGCAGAGAAAATCTGTGCATCCTCTTTTATATTTTTAAAATACTGTTTAACATTTGTGAGAATTTTATGAAAATGCTTTTGTATGAGCTGTGGCTTTTTTTCCATTGCGAAGCATAAAATAATCACATTTTGGAACATGTTTATGGGGTGGGTCCCTGGATCTTTGCTCACCAGATCCAAGCACTGCTTCTCGGTGTCATTGCAGCGTACTGCTTGTCACCCAGAATACTACTATCATGTGAATTCTTTTTGTTGTCCGTGTATTCCTTAGTCTTTTTTTTTTAATCATTCCTTATTTAAGAAGAAGCAATTTTCCATTTATGAAGCAGTATAAATTAGATGCATTTTCAAAACAGGTCCCTAAGACAATTGTTCAGATCATTTTTAAAATGACTAAGTCATTTTAGTATGTCAACCAAGATAAAAGTTACATCACACCCTCTATTTTGCCCGTAGTGCCATTAGTAGAATAGAAATGAAAAGCAGCTTTAACTTTGCAAAGTGAACGTGTACATGGTCTGTTCTCATTTATTCATTCTTCTGTGAAAAGTCAAATGAATTCAGAGGGAGCTTGGTCAAACTGCTTTTGTTTCAACTGCAGGCAGGGGAGTAAAAGGACAGCACGTGAGCATTAGGAAAAAAAATGTTGACTGTTATTAACAATTTTTATACAGAGTGAGTCATTTTGGATGACTTAAAATTTTATGAAAAATGTTCAGCACTTAAATGTGCTTATTCTGTTTTTAAGAGAAAATAAAATTACATACTGTTTAAATAAATGATTCTTTTTTTTTTTTTTACTTTTAGAAAATTCTCCAAAGGGTTTTGATCTTGAATCTTTGTCTTGGACCTGTTTTTTCCTTTGAGGGTTTTTGTTGTTTTTTTAAGATTTCGTTGGGATGTTTTGGTTTTGTTTTTTGCTTTTTGTTTAAGTTGTGCTGACACCAAACACGTCCAGTTTATAATCAGTACATTGGAAAGCTGGTATTGATGTAAAACCAGTACATAACTTTTTATGGGGTTTTTGTTCTTGTTTTTTTTTTTTTTTGTAAAGTGTGAATTAAAGGTATGTTTACTCATTTTTCCTAAGCACTGTGTTGGTAATATGCATCATGACAATTTCCAGTGAAGGTGAGCTGGAGCTGGTTGGACTGAGACTGAGGAAGCAGCCTTTCCTACGATCTGCATTATGTAATCACAGGTCCAGAGAGCTTTATGGAAGGGGGAGGGGAGGAGCACTTACTCATTTTGTATTTGTTAATGGAGGATGTAATCTTTTCGTAGATGCTGGAACTAGAGTGCACTTGTTAGATGCTAAAGGTTTGAGCTTTACACAAAATGTATTCATCTGTATTTGTTATTGTCTATAATATATTTGAATTTGGGGCAGCATATTAAGATATAATGGCCTGTTATGTCTTGAAAATACTTGTTTTGCCTCTTCCAGGCATACTGCATTATGTAGATCAGTTTGAACAGCTTCTCCACCTTAATTTGGACACTGATAAATTGAACCAAGAGTGTAGATTTACAATTTAACCTTGAAAAGAGGAAGAAATATTTGGGGTCTATAGGGAATAAACAGTCGCACCAAAATAGACTATGATGCTTTTGTTAAGCAAGGTTTCATGTTTTAGATATTTTCTGTGTGTTAAATAATTTCCAATAATCTATACTTTCTAAAATGCAATAAAAACTAGTATGTTTTCGCAGTGTAGATTTTTTTTTTCAAAAATTCTGTAACAAATATATTTAATGTGTTGCCATAATGTAATTTCAGTGTTTTTGCTGGATAAATCCATTTTAGAAATGTTTTACAAAAAGTTTGAGGCATGTTTTCTGTTTTAAAGATCAGGTGTTTGGAGGCATTCAAGTCCTTGTTGCAAATCTCTTGAAGTACAGCTTTACCATATTCGTGGTAATTATTAATACCTTGAGAATTTAAATATTGTTTATCAAGTTAATTTATGGCATAATTTAAGCTAAAGTTGTAGAAATGAAGTGTCGAGTGCAACTTTAATAGTCCCAAAGATAGGCAAAGAACATCTCCAAAAATGTGTGTGTGTTTTTTTCTTTTGATTTAGTGACAACTAGGAAAACTTACTTGGGGTTGTTAGCACTTTCAAACTTAGGGACATTATTAATTTGGATGGAATGCACTTCTAAATGTTTAAATTAAAATTTCAAAGGTCTTCTGAGATTCAGGTTCTCAATAATAACATTGAAGTTTTAGAGTTTCACTCTGTACCATTTAAATTTATGGAACCAGTTTCCATAGTGACTTCTAAGGTTTTGGGCTCATATATAAGGACAAAAGTCAACCTAGGCAAAACAGTTAACAAATGTTGCAGATAATTCCAAAAACACCTTTAGCAGATGTTTCTTCACCATTCATAAACAGTATTTTAAGATGTTCACTTTGCTTTTCTTTTTGGTTACATAAATTTTAATAACTGGTATGTTGAAGTAGTGTCTAAAGGTATCTAGTCTTTATTCACAGTACATTATATTGTGTAATGCACTGGACTAACTCTTGTTTACCATTCATGTAACAAAACCCAGCACATTATCTGCACTATAAGCTCAAAGAATGTCACATTTGCCCAGGCAGCTCTTTGATAAGGGTGATGGGAAACTGAATATATATCATATGGACTGGTGGTAACAAGGGCTTTTACTGTTATTTTCAGTGGAACCTTCTTGGTCAAATTGTAACTAGCTAGTATTATATTTATATACAGGGTTTTTTTTCTTTACCGATGTATTTTCCTACTCATAGCCAACCAATAAATTCAATATCTGTTTCAAATATTTTAGAAGTGTAATTTATATAGCTGTAGTACTGAGGTTTGAGGAAAAATAAATGTTAATCAGCAGACCACGTGTTTAAAATTCTGAATCATCTGGGACAGGGTTGTAACTCACCCTTCCAAAGGGAAGAGTGCAGGGGAACAGGGCCATGATATGGGGAAATGGTGTAAACAAATGTATTTCTTTATTGGCTGTGTTATTCTGTATAACACTCATTTCTTTGCCAAAGTTCAATTTTATATTTAGGCAACTGATGGTCCTTTTGCATTTAGGATTTTCATTGTTGTTACCATATACCTCATAATATAAGAAATGGGCTCATGTGTCTTCCGTCTTTTGGAAGGAGGTTGACATATTTTAAATAAATGCTTTTAAATACTGTAGTAAACATTGTGTTGGGGTTATAATAATTCATTAAATGTTTTACTTGTTGCATGTATTTTGTTGTATATGTAAACTTTAAAAACGCTTGACTTCCTGAGTCTTCAGATGTCACCTTACAATTGAGAAAACAACATGAGTTTCTTTACTTTTAGAAACCACTTCCACAAGGTAAATTTTTATGTAGATGTGGGAAAAATCATTTAAAATCTGGAGAGTTTAGATTAAATGAATATTTGCTTTGATCTCCAATTTTTAAAGTAGGCATGTTCTACTTAATTCTTAGTACAGTGATGCACGTTAGGGGGATATGTTCTGAGAAATGCATCCTTAGGTGATTTTGCCATTGTTTGAACATCAGAGTGTATTTACACAAACATGGGTAGTGTAGCCACATCTAGGCTATGTGGCTTAACCTTTTGCTTCTGTGCTAGAAACCTGTACAGCATGTTACTGTACTGAATACTGTAGGCAGTTGTAAGACAGTGGTAAATATTTGTGTATCTAAACATGGAAAAAAGTAAAAATACAGTATAAAAAAAATGGTATGTCTGAGACTGGGGACAGTGCCTCATGCCTGTAATCTCTCATTTTGGGAGACCGAGGTGGGCAGATCACTTGAGGCCAGGAGTTCGTGACCAGACTGGGCAACATGGCGAAACCCCGTCTCTATAACAAATACAAAAATTAACTGAGTATGGTGACACACACGAGTGTCCAGCTACTTAAGAGGCTGAGGTGGGAGAATTGCTTGAGCCCAGCAGGTGGAGGTATCAGTGAGGAGATTGCGCCACTACATTCCAGCCTTGGCTACAAAGTGAGACTCTCTCAAAAAAAAAAAAAGTATATCTGAATAGGCAGTTCTATTATATCTTATGGCCTATTCTCATATATGTGGTCCATCTTTGATTAAAATATCATGCACAATGTATGATGGTATGTAGTTTTAACTCATAATAAGTTTTGTTCCTCATATAATTGTCAAAAAATAAGTATAAAAGAGTTAATAGGTTGGGTGCAGTGGCCCATGCCTGTAATCCCAGCACTTTGGGAGGCTGAGGTGAGCAGATCACTTGAGCCCAGGGGTTCAAGATCAGCCTGGGCAATATGGCAAAACCTCACCTCTAAAAAAATACAAAAATTAGCCAGGCATGGTGGCACATGCCTATCGTTCCAGCCACTCAGGAGGCTGAGATGGGAGGATCACTTGAGCCTGGGAGGCTAAGGTTGGAGTGAGCTGAGATTGCACCACTGTACTCCAGCCTAGGTGACGGAGCAAGATCCTGTCTTAACCCAAAAAAGTTACTGAAGTATGTGCCATGTTACTTTGTAAATACAGTTAATGTTCCTTAAAGGAACAATTACCTAAAGAAACATGAATTGAAATATATTTAGAATAAAGTTTTTAGGTTTTAGATAACATATATACCAAGAGTTCCCTTTTTAGACTGTTATTTAGGTATTCAAATTGATTTTACAGTAAGCTTTCACAAGTATAATTTTAACATAATGAGTGGTTTTATATTAGAAGTAACTTGTAGAAGATAGTTTTCTACTAGAGTGTTAAGGAGAATTTGAGAAATATTTTTGTAAGTAAATTTCCCTTGAATAATATTTTAAATAGATTAGTTCTAACGAACTAGTCTATAGCCAGGGGTTGGGAAGACTGCTGGATTGCAAAGTAGTTTGAAGACCAGTTTTTAACAGTTTCAGCACATTTAACCTTTTTAATCAAATAAATAAGGAGATGTCAGTTTTCTCAGTTTCTTTGAATCACAAACTTTAAATCACTCTACCCAAAAGCTATTAAATGAGTTTGGGCCTGTTATAAGAAACTTTGCTTGCTCTGTCAGTACAACCTGAAGCAGGCTTCAAGAGCTTTAATTGCTGGATACCTTCCAGCTTACCAGCAAAGTGAATCTGAGCTGCTGGGCTTATAGAGCTACCCACTAGTAAGTTGCCTAAGTTTACTTAAAATTGAGAGATTTACAATTGTTGTACTCTGCGCTTAGATTGTAAACAGAGATTTGCAGGCATAATCCTTGACTTCCAGTTACTCGTTGACCATAAATCTAGTGCAGTGGGTGCTGAAGATGTAATAGGTGTGGAGGAAGAAACTCGTCCACTTGGGAAGGTTGCTGTAGCAGGGCTGTGCAGGATACATGGAAAGAGTAAGACGAATACTTGGTGTCAGAGTAGTTAGCTGGCCTCTGGTGTGGTCCAGTTGACAGCTAAGCTGAGGAGGGCTTGCAGAGCAGTAAGCCTAGAAAGGAAAGGGAATTTGAAATGTTTAGGAAAGGGAATTTGAAATGTTTAGGAAAGGGAAGTAATAACCTCAATTTCTGCCTCATGTGGATGAAAAGACAGATAAATGAGTTTTGTCCAGTCATTGTTTTATGTAAACCCTGACCCCAAATCTGTATCTGCCACCAAGGTCCCCATTTTTTCTTTACCCATCTGACAAAAGTATTTAGTCGAAGAATCTTGTTTCTCAAGCTGGATTTTACTTCATTCCCCATTATCATTCATTCAGATTTTAGTCTGCAAGAGAAAGCCAGTGTGCCCTTACTAAACGGCTTAGTAATTCCAGAAAATGATAAAAGGTAGCATTTGATGCTACATTAATTCTTTTAGCCTATTTCCCTTTGGCTTTTTGTATTAATAAAATAAATGAAAAAGACTGCCTTTCTGAAATTGCTGGTAAGACCAAGCATTCAAAGATAGGTAAATAGAACAACATATTTATCAATGAAGGGAGGGATCCAAGGATTCTCAGCTCTGTGAAGCTCCCCTCATGCAACAACTCTTGTTCAGTATGGTGGCTTCTAGCCATTGTGGCTTTTGAGCATTTGAAATGTGACTGTTGTGACTGGTACTGTAGAAATCTATTTTTTGTTAAGCAAAAGTTGATTTTTATAGGATCACATTTAATTGTTGCATTGTGTTAGAGAACTGCTACATTGCTTGTTTGTATTCTCCATAAACACATTGCCAGATGATATCAAAGAATTCATTCTAACAGCATTTTACTAACCAAAGTAACATTATAATGTGTTTATTGAATGCTATGCAGACAGTTACTGTGCCTATGTTAAGTCCTAATTAGCAAAGTGAGACGTTTGTTCATATTTTTCTAGTTTAAAAAATATAGGCAACTTATTAAATTTAAAATCAGTTCTGATACAGAACTGAGTGGAAATGCGGGGCTAATTCCAGCCACCATACTAGGTCTGTCACAAGCTAGCTGTATCACAAATTTCAGGACGAATGACAGCTGCCGTTTGCCTTACCACAGCAAAGAAAAAAAAATCTGTATTTGTGTAAAAAAAAATACAATTACATATTGAATTTAATGATTTCCCTTGATGGATAAAAATGAAATTAATCACTGAAATGTCCAACAGAAAGTAAGACAATTTGTAATAGGATTCAAGCATATAGATTTGGCCAGTTATGTTATAAAAGGGCTTACTTGGCCGGGCGCGGTGGCTCAAGCCTGTAATCCCAGCACTTTGGG